ATTTTCTTTGATAGTGAAATATAATGTATAAGGATGGTAGGTCAGTCGTGCTCCCCCATGCCAGCAACTGATTTAATAGTTGATGTTTTCGAGCGCTTATTAGTTGATATTAGCAATGCAAAAATAGAATTCTGTGAGAAGATAGGCTTTTTCTAGTTATTCATTTCAATTATACAAAAAAGTACACGTAAATTGAAATTAAATAAAAAGACACGTAAAATTGCATGAGTAACTTAACCTTGTTTTTCTATTTAAATTTCAAAAGAAAAAGAAAATGTAATCAGAAAATTTTATAATTTATTAGATGATACTAATAGAAAGTAATCATCAATTATTGCCTTTCTTTTCTGTTTTAGAAAAGATTTCAACATTTCTTAGTTTCACGTATAGAACCAAACTTTCAGTGAATAATTTCCTGTAGAAAGAACTGAAAAGAGATTTTTCATATGGTTCATCTTGATATAAGAATCCAAGACAAAGTAAGTCATCAACTCAAGTTCAATTTAATGAAGACTTCTCATGAGATTACAGAAACTGATTCATTTACCGTATTAATCTTACTATCATTATGAATGTTGATGCATAGAGTTTGGAAAATTATCAAATTCCAGAAGATCGAGTTTGTTTGGTACAAAATTTGTTCTTCATTTTAACCCTAGTACTTCCAACCAGGGTCCAAATGAACCCTGTTCTCAAAAAACAAGAAAATGCTATGAAACATTTTTTTCCATGGATTGAACTATGAAATATATTACGAATGTTAAACAAAGTCTATCAGTTTAGTACTATTTCATCAAGTAACATATAAGAATAATATAGTTTTAACCAGTTACTTATTGAAAAGTGAAAAAATCACTGTTTTCATTCTATTTGTTGTGGCCAAAAGTACACTTGAAAATACTAGGGTTAAGAATAGTTGAGATATTGACATGGGTATAATCATCAAAATTTATCATAAGATCAAATTGAAGTTTCTTAGTCATATACATCAATTATGAGTAGATAATAAATGTAATAAAAGAGTAACTATCATTTACTTATTATGAAAGATAATTCTATAAAATAAATGTTTTCGATAAGCATCTTCTGTAAATATCACAACAAACTATCAATCACCTGTATTACTCATTTCTATATACGTATTCAAATATATTAACAAATTCAAAGAAATAATGATGAATATAACACTCTCAAAATTATTTGTAAATGTTAATAATGCTATTCAATATTATATTTAATCAATTCCTGATGGTGAATATTATTAAAAACGAACGAATGTTGAGGTACATGCTGCAGCAGTCATGAATTCATCTTAAATACACAGCTGATAATACAGTATATATTATTATTCTTTTTAGTTTTCCAGGTCTATTCATGAAAAAAAAATATTCATACTACAGATTGGGAATAGAAAAAAATGATGTAAAAACGATACTATTTGTAGATTTTGGGAATAGTTTTTTATATCAAACTGCATACAATAAACTGTTAGTAGAAAAAAATGAATTGAGTTTAAATTTTATAAGTACTATCGTTTTTACAAGTTTCACTTTCTTTTGAATGTAATCTAATGTAATGCGTAAACACAAGAGAAATGAATTGCTCTTACTACATGTATGATAAATTTTTCTTTTCACTTGAACAAATGCATCACTTGTCACAAGCATCAAGTGAAATTGGTTATTTGATGATATCAATTGAATCATGAAATATGAGAAAGAATCGAATTGTTTTGTTTATTAGAAATTCGTAAAAGTAAATGACTTTTTTTTCGAGAAAATCTATTCAGTTAGTTTAACTATTCCTGAATGTTTTGATATTGATCAATGAAACTGAGAATTGTTTATAGTTACTCAAAAAGTCACTGTCGACGAAGTTATATCATATAATGAGAATTAAATGAAGTATCTTCTGTGATATTATAGATTTCAACTTGAGAGAGGATAAAAACAAATCTAAGTAAAAATAAACTTGTTAATTGAGTATTTCTCATTATTTTTCTCTCTTATAGAAATTGTTCAACAGGTAAAAGAGCTTCATTTCGTTTTTCATAGTATTTAGTTTATTCAAATCTTTCGTCAAACTATTGTCAGTATATTCTTTATTTAGATTGAATGTGGATGTTGAGAAGTTTCATAAGAAAGAAAGCATACTCAACAACTAATTTGTGTATATGTCTCGTTAAGTTTTGATGTTTTCGACAATAAGAGACGCATTTTCTGACATAATATATATCCGTTTTCCATAATTTTATAAGGATAATAGGAAAAATTGTTAATTAAATAGGTATATACATAGCTAAAGGTCTACATAACTAAACTAGAATATTTTTTATTAGAATTGTTTTGATTTCCGTACTTGATATGATAAAGATCAAATGGAAGTGTTCATCACTTAATATAGTCATAGAAAACAATTGAATTCTCTTATCAATATAGATATAAGGTATTTTGCCAACAAAATAAATTGATTTATTGTTATGTTTTTTGCTGAGTACATTTGCAACGAACCGATATATTTATCGAGTATCTGTCAGATATAGACTTTTATTGTGACATTTATTTTGTTTTTCTTTTCAAAAAAAAATTTGAAGAGAGCTTGTTACAATGTATAATTGAACTAAAAAAATAATATAATGATAGTAGTAAGGAAGCAATGATATCCGAATATGTGTCTAGAACTACTTTTCCCATACGGAATTTTTCATGGAATGCAGAACGCGTAAGATTTCATTATGGGCCATTAGCGTGAATAACTGATCGCAAAGCAACAATTTCAGTATGTGTCGAAGGTGAATGCACCGAATTCTCGACTAGGAATATTGGTTGACTTATGAAAGACCTTGCTTTGACCTTAACTATAACTTTTCTGCACCATCCACTTTTGGGAATAAATTTAATGCCGAGTTTAAAACAACTCTTATATTAATGACTGCAACAGGATGACGTGACTCTCGTAGAAGATTTCTCAAAACTACTTAGGTCATACCAAAAGTAGTTACGGAGTTATATCAATTTCTTATAGAATGCTTGAAGAAATTTTCTTTTCATATAGACTGATAGTAAAAACAAAGCTTTACATTTCTACACCATTTGATCATTATTCATCTAATATCATAATAATAAAATTTCCATTAGACTTGTTTAGCTATGATATGTAACAATAACATTAGTCCATATTGGCTTCAATGTATATTATCGTCTTGATTTTTTCCTTTCCTATCTTTTCTTTTATTACTTTTATCTTACCTCTTTTAATGCCAAACCATCTATATGTACATATATACAAAGACACATGTTCTAATTGAAGAGATGGAAATGCAAACTGACCTAAGTCATGGCATCATTCAGCGAATTGTTTCTGATTATCTGAACCTTGCAATGGATGTGTTTGTACTGTCCGTTAAAAAGATAGCAAATATTCGGGTCAAATGAAAGCTCTCACCGCCAAACTAATAAGGTTAAAATATTAGCAGCTGTTGGCTTATCTAGAGGGAGATATTCGAGTTTTACTGTATTTACAGTGTATGTGGGATGCTCACAAGTCAAAATTTCAGCAGAATTTCTTTTTCTTTTTTTGTGATGATAGGATAGAACTCATCGAGTTGCATTAGAAAAAGTATGCTTCAAATTTTAAAAAAGAGATTTTTCCAAGGGTCGCAATTTTGGGTCTATTTTCCTCTATATTTGAAAATAACGCTAACTTAGACCTTTCGAAAATTTTTTTTTTAATCGATTTTTAAAATTTGAAGCATACTTTTTCTAATGCAACTCGACGAGCTCTATCCTATCATCACAAAAAAAGAAAAAGAAATTCTGCTGAAATGTTGACTTGTGAGCATCCCTCATACACTGTAAATACAGTAAAACTCGAATATCTCCCTCTAGGCAAGCCAACAGCCGCTAATATTTTAACCTTATTAGTTTGGCGGTGAAAGCTTTCATTTGACCAGAATATGTGCTATCTTTTTAACGGATAGTACAAACACCACCATCGTCAATATCAATTTAAGTAGTTCCATTGTGCTTGATATTTGAATTCAACAGATCTTTGCTAGTTTTCTTTCGATCATTCACTGAAATTTAATATGCAACATTATCAAACTCATCGTACTAATGACAGAGATGTCTTTGTGACTAGACTTTGCCTGAATCTAGGAATATCTGTTCGTGATCATTCTACTATTAAAGATCTTCAAAATTCTCTTCTAGCGCATTTTACTTTACAGAAAAAGTCAATTACTATTCCGTAGCCGTTAAGTGCTAGTTGCGATGAAACTACAACAATTAATTGATAGTATAGATAATTTGATCTGTATTAATCCACATACATTAGAAACATACTATGAACATTTTATCACTTTAATTACGCAATCGCTACGACGTGTGACACAAACAAATAATCCAAATGATCATGGTTTTATTTTTGTTATGCCAACTATTGGTATACCCAATGGGAATGAAGTGATACTAGACCATTATATCATAAATACATTACTGAGTACCCGATTATCAGCTTTAGTTGTCAATGACCGTAAATTATTACGTTTATTAGAATCAGCAGCCTTTCCTGTATTTCAAGTTCCCAAAACGACAACGACAGATATAATCTTTGGTCAATTATGTATTCATTGTTATAATAATCCTCGACAGTCTATTCATGAAATGATTGGTGTAACTGGTACAAATGGTACAACACCAGTAACACATATGATTGAAAAAGTTTTATCCGATGCTAAATTGACAGTTGATTTGATCGACACACTTGGTTATAGATGCTATCGTTATGAGTGACATGAATGGCTACGTGAATACAGATTGCACAACACCAAATGCATGGTTATTACAAACACTGTTGAATGATATGAAAAATACATATCAAGTAGACAACGTTGTCACGGAAGTTAGCTCTCACGGATTGACATTAGAACGTGTTTATGGATATGATTTTAGTATTGCCATTGTAACAAATTTTACACAAAATCATCTTGATTTTCATAAAATAATGGACAATTATTTACAATCAAAATTATTATTATTTTCAAAATATTTATCAAGATCTTCATCAGCAAAGGCTATCATTAATCATGATAATCCATCATATGAGCATTTTATTAATGCATGTCCATCAAAGAAAACTCAAAATTCATTTGTAGCGAATGACATTAAAACTTCTCTAAATGGTACAAAATACATTGTTTTACTACCTTCAGGTGAAACACGACGCATTCATTTGAATATTCATGGTAATTTTAATGTTTACAATTCTCTAGCTTGTATAGCTACTTGTTTTACAACTTATTCACACTTGTTAACATTAGATCAAATAATTCAATCATTGGAAAACTTTCAATATGTTAAAGGTCGATTTGAATTTCATATACGTCATAGACCATTCTCAGTTGTGGTTGATTTCACACATACTCCAGACGGTTTAGAAAAAGTACTCAAATGTGGTAGACAAATACTATTAGAATCGGCCGAAAATGGTCGGTTAATTGTTGTGTTTGGCACTAGTGGACGAGGAGATCGATCAAAAAAGACCATTGTTTGGACGTATAGCTGATGAATATGCTGATATTATGATAGCAACATCGGACAATTCTTCTCAAGAGAATCCACAAAAAATAATTGATGACATTGTCTCGGGCATCCAAACAAAACCAGATAAAAGTCGTTTATATGTAGAAGTAGATCGAAAAAAAGCAATACATTTAGCTGTAGATTTAGCTAAAGATAGACACGATTTAATACTAATTACTGGTAAAGGACACGAAACAACACAAATACTTGCTGATCATGCTATAGAATTCAACGAAAAAGACATCATGGAAGAAAAATATAAACAAATGATGCAGGATAATACCTTATCAACGTAAATTTTAGAATAAATCATTCTGTGAAAAAGACAATGACTCTTTGTAAAATTGTGCACATCTCCAACAATTAATCGACTTATACTACATGTTTTATTACACAACCCATGTAGTCGATTTTTAGAAATAATGTACATTGCAATGCATTATTTTTCAATAGAAATGCAATGAATGCAATTACATGATAATGCATTAATTATTTCTTTTAATACATTAAGAACTTTCAGACATGGTACTCTTGTGACTACATCCCTATAACTGTACCCTTATAGTCATATGCATATACTTATATACTTAATCCTATAGCACACTACCTACACCTAAATACTATAGACATATCTACTGAGCAAATTTAACTGAACATTTAATTTGTACCCTTATTGAATAAAAAAAAACAAGGATATGGTTGTAGCTGTACTTGTGTGTAATGTTGGATGTAGGGTATGGATAGGTGTGAATAGACAACGAACACCCACACCCATAAAAGTTGAAAAGTCCAAGAATGCATGTGGACGAAACTCAATACAGTATAGTGGCTATGTAGCCGATCTTATAAAACTTTTACAAAGGAAAACAGGCTTTATTCCAACAATTCAATTAGCATGATCCAATCAAACATATGATGAATTAATTCAAGCAGTAAGTGATTGTGTTTATGGTGTAGTGATAGGTGATGTGACTGTTACCGCTACAAGAAGAAAATTAGTCGATTTTTCCAATGTCATATATGATAATTCTTTACGAATTATTGTACGAAAAACATCTGATGTTAATATCAATCTGTTCTCATCCTTAAAACTCTTTTTGCGTAAGCTCTGGTTATTAGTCTTAGGTGCTTTTATCTATGCTGATATATTGATGTGTATAGTAGAGACAAAATAATGAAGTACTACAAAATCGATCAATATTGTCTCAAGTTGCAATTAGTATATGGTATTCTTTTGGTAATATTGTAGGATATGATGTAGATTTTCATACTAATACAGCGTTTATTAACTACTGATTTATATATCTTAAGTTTGATATTAGTAGCATCATATAGTGCAAATTTAGCCTCTGAAATGGCAATAGAGAAATCAAAAGATATTATTTCTGGAATTGATGATCTTAAAAATGGAAGAATACCATTTAATCCTATTGGAATTAGTGAAGGTACAGCTGCTGAAGATTATCATTTAAGAAAAATATCTGAAGGAACTCTTAATTACCATCGATTAATATCAGAAAAAGTTATATATGACAGTCTACTTGCATATATTATTGACGCATATTTTGTGGATAGTGGTACCGCTGAATATTTCACAAATAATATATATTGTAATTCAACTTTAATTGGAAATGATTATATGCACAAGATTTATATTTAAATATTTTATCATTAAATAAAAATAATTACAAAAAAATCAAATGAAATATATCGAAATAAACAAATTTGAGCAAGTGGTTGTGTTGGACGATCACTAAATTTACTACTTAATGGTTGAATCGAATTTAGATTTATTTCACAAATCTTATCATTATCAATAAACAATAACTGAGCTTTTTCATTTTCGTAAATAATAAAAAATAACAAACAAATTCTAACACTAAAAATGGAAGTGTGTTTGTCACATCAGTTTATAAGATTGACCATCTTCGGGCGAAATTATTCCTCTCAACCTAGAACTACTACTGTAGATATAAAATATAAGTTGCTGATGATGAGTGTGGGCTGAATTATTCAAATAAACCGAACAGAAGAAAAAAAATATGAGTGATCGTCAATATTTAATAAATATACAATGGTTATTCATAATCAGTTGTTGCACCATCATTGAAAAATCTGATCAAATTGGGATTTAAATAAGCTTAAATAATCCGCAAAACAGTTTGAAGAAGTAGATGTGTTGAATTTTTTATTATTTGCAATTCAAAGAAGGTCAATTATATTGAAATTTTTTTCTTTCACATACTATTTAACTTTCAGAAAATGACGAAACTCATACAACACTTATGTCATAGATTGATAAATACTACCAAAATCTTACAAATGTACTGCATGTAAAAACAATTAATAGAGCAAAAATAAACTGAATTTTGGAAGATTCTGTTGTTCTTATACACCTAAGGCATCAATCTCTTAAAAGTTAAAGAACTCGATCTAGGCTTGCTATCAGCAGTTCATATTTTAAATCTGATAGTTTTTCGTTGAGAATGGCCATTTGGTCTGAACATGGCCAATCTTATTTAACTGACATGATAAACTGTTTTATTTTAGGTAAAAAATACCGATTCTGTTGAACAAACTTCTCCTAATTGAGGAAAATATTTCTTAACTAAATCAATTCTATTATAATATACACTAAATTACAAAAAAAAAAATAAAGAAAATTTAATTTTTGAATTGAAAATAAAATTATCATAGGATTCTGTTTGAATTAATATTTGAAGAACAGAAAAATAAGTTGAATTATAATATTTGGATAATTCACTTTCAAAATCAACACCATTTTGAAAATATTGATACGCTACTGTTACTGGATATATTAAATTCGAATATTTTTAATTACGAAATCTAGATAGAATTTGTACTTGAGGATAATATAAATAATTTTCTCGACTCGTTGATTTTTTCTTATATTTTGAGATTGATCGTCGATTGTTATTATTATTGACCCTCATTCGATATGATTGTGAAAAACAATATTCGATTTAATGATAAAAAAAAACAAAATCGTTTCGTTCAATATTTGTCATTGATCGAATTAATTGTCAATTATTTGAATATAAATTAAATGTTGTTAAAGAAGAAGGACGACGAAGAAAAGGATTAAGATTTCCACAATGAGAAACACTAGAAGATAAAGAACAATAACTTATTAATAGATATAACAGTAGTACTTTCTTTTGTATTCAATTCATTCATTAATTGATACTAAATTAGAAATATATTTTGTTCTGAAAATTCTTTAATAAGAAAAACAAATAAGTGACAAAACATTCAACAACATTAACTTCTTTAGAAATTTCTGATTGAATATCAAAATAAAATACGTTGATGTGACTATTTTTTGAAGAGAATTTTCAATAGACATTTTAATGTAATAAAATCAACAACTTATTATTTTATTACTATTAGTTTAATTTCAAACAAATGATTGTTTAGAATTTACTTGACATGATATTATTTAACCTTTTATTAAATTATTATATATTCAAAATAAATAAATCTTATGTAAAAACAAGATAATCATTAAATAATTTATTATATATTTGTATAAGATGTTTCACAATTATTTTTATGTTCAATATCAAAAGTCACTCAATCAAATATAATGGACTAAAAATTTGAAACAAATGATGTCCAGTACTTTCAATACTCAATAGCTATCATTAGAAAATAATCTAATATGAATTAAGGAGAATTCAATAAAACATTGAAATAGACAAAATTCTATCATTAGTATGCAGACTGAGCAAATGAAAATCGTTCTCTGATAAAATATTGACTGACAAAATGAAAATGATCTGTCAATTGTTTTGAATTTCTAATTTCAAGAAAGAAAATTTGTTTTGAACTGAGTGACATCTATTAAAATAGAATATTTCGTTTAAAATAAAATCTAGTGTTTAATTCTCAATTGCAAACAGTTGTCTTAATGATATAAGAAAATACAATACAATAAAAATAATGTCGCTTTTTTTTTCAAGGTAATATTCGGATTCTATTGGACGTTCTTTATTTAAAGATTTTTTTTCGTCTTCTTCTTTCACTCTAGTTCAATCCTTTCTTTTAAGTTCGCCTGTATAAGTGCATAACAAGCAAGTATTTGTTTGTTTTTAATAGTTTTTTTTTTTATTTATTTAATAATGATTAACAGTTGTTGGTTTTAGAAATTCTTTCTTTCTTTTCTAATTTAAAAACAATTGAATGTACAGAACGACAAAGAACAGATAGAGAGAGAGAGTAATCAGTCTCATATATATAGGCAATAAAGTATGCGAGAGCGCATGTATCAAATTTTCGATGTTTCGATCTTTTTTCTTTACATTTATGTTCGTTCGAAACACTTATAAAGCAAAGCGAAGCTCGCTGACATCGACGTCCAGAGTGCGAATAAGAGAAATAAAAGAAAAAGTATAGGAGAAAAGAGGAACATAGGCGAGACGTGAAGTGTTTTGTGTCTATGTTATTAACTTGATCATAGATCTTTTTCTCTTTCTATGTTTTCTTTTTTTTTTTTTTTTTTTTTTTTTTGGTGTTGGTTACTCCAAATATCTAACTCTATTCATCTATTGAACTTATATATTTACCATCAGGTGAGATATAATCGAACTTTCATTTAATTTAAATTGATAAACGTTTTCTTTTACTATTTGACATTTAATACCTTTTTTTAAGCGTTTTTTTCTTTTTTTTAGGTATCCAGAGTATTTGTATTATGTTGTAAAACAGAAATAGTAAAAAAAGAAAGAAAAGAATGAAACGAACGAAGAAGACAAAAGTAAAGCTCTAACATGTACATATACGTATTTAGTTATTTTCGGCTCAAACAACCACTTATTCTTTTCTATTTGACTTGACCGAAAAAAAAAAAATCGAATGTGTATGTATTTGTTAAAGAGAAAAGAAGTGTACGAACGCGATGAAGAAGAAAAAAAAAAGAAGAGTACATCACGAGTACTTTAGTCCCTTTCACACAAACATTCACATACAGATGGATTATCTCTCGATAGTTTGTATAAGGCATCTGCTTACATTTTTTTCTTCTCTCTATTGTCTGTATTTTGTTTCGACATGAATCGATTTGTTTGCATTACTAACTGGTATTTGCAGCATTCTTGAAAAAAAAAAAAACAATAAGGCAAAAAAAAAATCCTCTTTTTCTTTTCGTTTTTATAAATGTATTTTGCTTGTCTGTCAAACGAAGGATAATAGATATCAGAGACTCTGTTGCTATTTTAATAGACTATAAACATTATTCTAATAGTTTTGTTGTTTACTGTGTATGGCAAATTTGATAAGAAGGTTTCGCTGTCTTCCCACACACAAGCATAGTCACACATACATTTATTCGTTATGATTCGTCATTCCACCTCCGTCCGCCTCGCTCTCTGTTTCACAGGTATGAATCATAAAAAAGGAATGATGATAATGTTAAAATATAAAAAAGCGTGCCATTTTCTATCTGTTTTGCATAGTATAGATAAAAGCACTTTTCCTCGGTTTATATATTATAGGTTGTTGGTGATTTTTATTAATAGTTTCGAAGCGCATACAAACATTCATTTTTCGTATAGATAAGTAGAAAGTTTTTTTTTCATATTTCATAACTCTGAAGATCTGTCATCACAATGATGAGTGTATGTCACAAGGTCTCAATTATTTATGATTATTATATATGTCTGCAATAGCTCGAAAGATTATATAATCAAAGAAACGTATTTCTTTTTTTTTTTCCTTCCCTCCTCTCGCTGAACACATCTCGACCGAGCATATACACACATACACACGTACAATATTGCACCTCGCTGACTTGTCGAATGAACTGTTTTCTTTTGCCTCTATACATTCAGTCATCCAATCGATGAGAATACATACATATATATATATAAGTGGCTTTTTTTTTCTTGTTTTAGATTTGAACAAAAAAAAAAGAGAAATGCCTACACCGACAAATAATAAATCAGATGGTGTAATGGACAATGGTCATGAACCAGCTGAAATGAAATATTTACGTTCAACAGATATGACTTCAAAAGATAGTATTACAGATGCAACAACAGCTAATGAATGGGCAGCTAAAAAATTTGTTTGGGTACCTGATGAACATGAAGGTTTTGTTCGTGGTCAAGTACGACAAGAACAAATGGATGGACAATTATTAGTTGATTTAGAAAATGGTAAACGTGTTACCATACATAAAGATGATACACAACGTGTTAATCCACCAAAATTTAGTAAAATTGAAGATATGTCAGAATTAACTTGTTTAAATGATGCATCGGTATTATATAATCTTAAAGAACGTTATTATTCAGGTTTGATATATACATATTCGGGTTTATTTTGTGTTGTTGTCAATCCCTATAAACGTTTACCAATATATTCCGAAAATGTTATTGAAATGTATAAAGGAAAAAAACGTGAACAAATGCCACCACATATATTTGCAATAGCTGGTGATGCATATCGTTTAATGTTACAAAATCGTGAGGATCAATCAATTTTATGCACGTAAGATAGTTTTTTTTTTTTTTTCTTTTAGTAAAAACGAAAAAAAAAATTTTGAATCTTCTTTCTATTATAGAGGTGAATCTGGTGCTGGTAAAACTGAAAATACAAAAAAAGTTATTCAATATTTGGCTTATATTGCTGCTGCACCGAAAAGTTCACAACGTCAACCGGCAACTACAATTAATCAATATCAAGTAGAAAAGAAAAATAAAAAAAAAACATTTTGATTATTGTTTTTGTTTTTTTTATTTTATTTTTAGCAACAAATGAGTACAAATAAACTAAGCGATGCCTCCGTAAGATATTGAAAAAAGAATTTTAATGAACTTTTTTTTTTTACCGAACTTTTATTTTTAAGGGTGAACTTGAAGCTCAACTTCTACAAGCAAATCCGATTCTTGAAGGTAAAAACAAGAAAAATAATAATTTCCTAGAAGAAAATAAAAAATAACTAATTTCTTTTCTACTTTCAAAGCATTTGGTAATGCAAAAACAGTTAAAAATGATAATTCATCACGATTTGGTAAATTTATTCGTATTAATTTTGATACATCGGGTTTTATTGCTGGTGCATCAATTGAAACATATTTACTTGAAAAATCTCGTACTATACGTCAAGCTAAAGAAGAACGAACATTTCATATATTTTATCAATTATTACGTGGTGCTAATACAAAAATGATTACAGATTATTTATTAGAAGATTTTAGTCGTTATCGTTATTTAACACATGGTAATGTAACAATACCAGGTGTTGATGATGGTGAAGAATTTCAAAATACAGTTAAAGCTATGCAAATAATGAATATGTCAAGTGATGATTTAAATTCAATATTTCGTACAATATCAGCTGTTTTACAAATGGGTAATATGCAATTTAAACAAGAACGCAATAGTGATCAAGCTACATTACCTGATGATACAGTTGCACAAAAAGTTTGTCATCTATTAGGTATACCTGTAACAGATTTTGTACGATCATTTTTAAAACCAAAACTTAAAGTTGGAAGAGATTTTGTTACGAAAGCACAAACACAAGCTCAAGTAAGTTAAAAGATTAATTGTTAGTTTTTTTTGTTTTGTTGAAAAAAGAAAGAAAAATCGAATTCAATATAGTGAAATATAATATTAGAAAGAAAAAAGAAAGAGGACTCGTTGTTGATTAGGACAGATATGCCTGAGTGATTACGTTGTTCAACATATGACTCTAACAATTTGTCTCGGATCATTTATCTGATATTATGCTGACAAAATTGTGACATTCACCTGATTTTTTAGTTAGTTAGTATATGTGCCTAGAGTTCAAGAAATTGTGCTTCAGGTCGGCTTCTTAGCTAGTATTAGTTGTAAGGAAGATATCGCCGCTTGGTAGCACACCATATCGTAAAGTAGCCGAAAGATATGAATGGTCATTTTGGCTTCTATTTCAGCTAATATTTTATTCATTTATTACAATTTAGAAATAAAACAAGATTTATTTTACAATATCAAGAGTTGATTATATCGAATAATGGAAGCAGAAAGATGGTCCTTGCCTCTGGTGATAGGTTACCGAACGTGTTAGATATGATATTCCTAATTAGTAATATTCTCTCAGGAGCCGATCTACATCATTCACTTGAAAGCTTATCAGCGTGATCGATATTAGAGTAAAAGATTGTATTATATGCTATACAGATTTTGGCTTACAGGTACTTCTCTGTGTTCTGGTTATCTCTGTTTTTCGAAGAAGATAAAATTAGTCAGTCGGAAGTTTTTATCATAGATACTAAGATTTATTCTTTAAATGGCAAATTTACTGTTGTCCGTATATGGATCTTCCTATTCGAACTTATAAAGTTCTGATATCCTATTATAAATGAATCCTATTTTCCTCGAATACCTATCTCCGTATTTGAGATGTCCTATGTGCAGTAAAAGTTTCAGATTATAGTCATCTTCAAGAACCAAAAATGCCGTGGAGGAGTTCCTTTAAACTCTTTCCATTTAATTAACACTAATTTACTTTCACTATATGTTCATTTCCTTTCGGAAGAGAGAAAAAAAAAACGATAAACAACATTGATCTAAAATCAATATTTGATTAGGTTGATTATGCTGTTGAAGCAATATCAAAAGCAATTTATGAACGTATGTTTAAATGGATTGTAACACGTATCAATAAATCTCTTGATCGAAGTAAAAGACAAGGTTCATCATTTATTGGTATACTTGATATAGCTGGTTTTGAAATTTTTCAATTAAATTCTTTTGAACAATTATGTATAAATTATACAAATGAAAAACTTCAACAATTATTTAATCATACAATGTTTGTTCTTGAACAAGAAGAATATCGTCGAGAAAATATTGATTGGGAATTTATGGATTTTGGTCTTGATCTTCAACCAACAATTTCGGCTAAAGAGAAAATAAA